CGCAGCATCTAACATTTCATAAAACTTTTTGGCATCTAAGTTAGGTTCTTCAACTTCATCATCATCATGAGTTACAAAGGCATCACCTACCATATCATGAACCCTATCACAATCTACCATTTGTTCCTCTTGGTGATGATAGCTATTACTACTGCTACCTTCATTACGCAAATGCTCAACCGGTTCAATCTGAAAATTGTTATTACTACTGCTACCTTCATTCCTACAACTAGCATCTTCTCCATGTTGATACCAAATATAATAATATGGCATGAAACCTCTATTACTAAATGCTTCCAAACATTTTCACGAGGGCCTAATTTGGTATTGCAACATTTCCGACAATGACAGAACATCTTACCACTTTCCTGCGTGAGTGGTGTAGAATCTGCTTGATGCATAAACGTCTCCAACCCTTCGAGAAATTCTTTCGTCACCCTCCCGTTATTATCTCTGTGTGAATACATCCACTTCCGCAACTCGAAAATACTTCCCGGACAGGACATTTTTTTTTTTTTTGATCAAGCTTATAGCTGATTTTTTTTGGTGTGTTTCAAATGAATCACATATGGTGGTATTTATAGAAATTTTCGAATCTGAGAATTTACTAGGAAATTTCTAGGAAAAGTAGGTACAAAACACGTTTCTGATTTAAATTCGATATTTTCTATCCATTTCCTCTTAATTTCGTAGTAACAAATCTTTCCCTCCTAATTTCGTAGTAAACAATTACTAGGACTTTACGAGGAAAAGCATTACTATGAGTTTACGAGGAAAATAAATTTTTCCTCGTAAGGGCCTCGTAAGTTTACTTCGAGTTTACGAGGAAACTGTTTTCTCGTAAGTTTACGAGAACTTTACGAGGAAAAGTGGTTTCCTCGTAAACTCGAAATAAACTCGTAGTATTATTACGAGGAAAGATTTTCCTAGTAAATTTTCCTAGTAATGGCTTAGTTTTCTTGTAGTGGGAAGGCTCCTCGAGATCCTTGTCGTCCTCTTGACCATTGTTCCCCTCTTCTTGTTCCTCTATCTTCTGTTACTTTGAGTACATGATCTTCCCTTTCTTTCTTCTTGAACTTCTGTTCATGTACCAGAAGTGAGCTCTGGAGTTCATCAATGGAGAGATTATTGATATCCTTTGACTCCTTGATAGCACATACTACATAGGTAAACTTCTCAGACAATGTTCTTAGCACATTCTCCACCACTTTCCCATCAGACATGTCTTCAGCCAGATTTCTCATGTCATTCGCAACCACCATGATTCTAGCGAAGTATTCTGATACACTCTCACCATTTCCATCTCTAGCACTTGGAAGTCTCTGCGCATCCTCTGAAGTTGAGCACTTCGAACACGTTCGTTTCCTTGGAACTTTGCTTTCATAGAAGCCCAAATATCTTTAGAACTGTTCTTCACCAGGATTTGCTTAAAAATATTTTTTTTCAATGGAAGCAAACAAGTAGTTTTTCAACTTTAAATCTTTGAGTTTCAGATTGCCTATCTTTGTGCGTTGTTGACCATTGAGCACTGTTCCTCTTGGTGGCTCTGTGATCCCTTCTTCGATAAGGTTCCACCATTCTTTGACCTTAACAAATTCTCCATCAGCATAGCCCAGTGTTCGTAATCACCATCAAACTTGGGAATTTTTAGCATACTCTCTTTCTCGGATGCCATAGTTTCTCTTTGTTATCTGCAGGCTCTGATACCAAATGTAAAATATCAGAGAGGAGGTGAACTAGAAACTACTCTTAACATTGAATGAAAACAGAGAAAAGGCTTTATAATAGCCGTACATACGCATAACCCACAAACTACCTCCTAACTAGTAGGAACAAACTTAAAACTAAAACAACAAGGGAAATCTTAACAAAGTGTCCCTAAACAATCTGGACTTTAATCAACGTGAAAAGCCACTACTCTTAACATCAATACCCTTGTAAAAGTTAGCAGTATGGTCCTATTACAACCACAAACAAAACTCGAAATATATATATATATATATATACATATATCTATATACATATATATATATATATACATATATACATATATATACAAAATATCCATTTTATATTAAGTACTATTGTACAAAATAATGCAATACATATATATATATATATATACATATATATAAAATATGAGAAAACTATTATGAATATGTACATGATCGAAGGAAAAAAAACATAAAAAACTATAAATTTGTGAACATAGGAAAACTGAAAAAGTTTATTACGTCGTCTATTTTATTTAACTTTCATTTTAGATTTGTTCACATAGATTAAAGATATAATTAATTTTGTATATAAAAACCTATTTATCTATACATCTAATCATATTTTAACTAATAAAAATAAATTATTGAATAGAATTAATCAATTTTATATTGAAAATACTTTGTAATGAAAAATGTTTTGTACAATAGTACTTAATATAAAATGGAGGAAATAATGCAATGGGTACCAAAGGCCAGAGCAGTTGATTTGGGGAGGCCTATCTCAGCCCAAGTTTAATGCAATACCGGAGTTCAATATCAAAGTACTTTCTATGCATAATTGTATGTTAGGTATTTAAAAGGCTTTTCCAGCTAGTTTTTTCTCGGAAAAATTGCAAATTTTGAAAGTGGCACACTTTAAACTTTGAAATTTTTTTATTAGCACTTTAAACTTTCAAAGTGACATTTATGTCATAAAAACCTTTCAAATTGGCTTACTTGTTCATCAAATAAAAAACTAACATGTTGTACAGGTAAATTTGATGATATGGTGCGAAAAATAATTATTTAATTAATAAAAGAAATAAAAATCAAAAACTTATCTATAAATCATATAACTAAATAAAAATTCAAAAGTTAAACAAAATTTAAAAATAAAATAAAATCAGAAAATTAATAAAATTCCAAAAACTAAATTAGCTTAAAATAAAATAATATGTTTGTTTTTTTAAAGAAAATCTTGTAATTTAAAAGAGACTATTATAAATATTTTATTTTTATTTTGTGATTTTTTGTTTAATTTCTGATTTTTACAAATTTTCTGTATTTTAATTTATATTTTGACTTTTGATTTAATTTTTGGTAATTTAATTAACCTAATTTAATTTTTGGAATTTATATTTAATTTTTTGATTTTAGTTTATTTTCAATTTTTATTTAATTTTTTGAATTTTTATTTAGTTATCTGAGTTTTTAAATTTTTTTATTTTATTAATTAAATAATTATTTTTTTTGAAAATAAACCAATACGTCATCAAATTTACATGTACAGCATGTTAGTTTTTTATTTGATGGACAAGTAAGCCAAGTTGAAAGTTTTTCGTGACACAAATGTCATTTTATAGGTTTAAAGTGCTCATCAAAAAACTTTAAGGTTTAAAGTGACAGTACGTATCGGTTTCCTGTTTTTTATACAGTTTTCCTGTTTTTTTATACAATTTTCCTCTTTTTTTTGTCAACAGTTAGTTTTTATTTATCATCTTCTTCTTTGATTTTCTTAGTATAAATACAACGAATTTGCTATTGATATACAGTGTTGCAATGACCAAAGGAAGGCAAAAAAATTCAACGGTCATAAACTAAATTATTAGTTCCTTTTCTGCAATGTAGTAGTTGGTCATTTTCAAAGTTTGGTATGAACTTTGATACAAAACTTCACTGATTTCAAGGAAACACTAAAACGGCTAATTGACCCTTTAATGAAATGAAACCAACATTATAAAGTGATTCTTTTAGAAGCACTTCTAGAAACTAAATACTTTCAATGAAGATAGTTCTGCAACAAATATAGTATGATTTATTTTAAAATGCGTTTGTTAACAAAAAAACACAAAGTTCATATGGTTTAGTAGACTTTTTGTGATAAAAATGTTTTACTAAACTTGTTTTTATAGTAGACTTGTTTGAATATTTTAGTTTTTTAAGCAGAAGTAATTAATACATAGAAGAAGTTGATGTTACTTGTTTTTTTTCTTTGAACTACTAATGTGAACTACACATAAATATATTATGTAATCAAAATATAAATAATGTAAAAATATTTTTAAAATATAATTGTGAGGTTGGAAAGAAAAAAAAGGACAGTGGTTGAATCTAAAGGAAGAATGTGGTTTGGGGTAAGAGACAGCCAATTTGCCAGCTGTGAAAGTCTCCTTCAATTGTTGTATAAATACACATTACCATCCCCACAGCTATTATCATCACGACACAACACACACACGAACAAAAAAACAAATCTTTCTTCATACATCACAGAGAAGTAAGTAATGGAGGCAATGAAGATGATGGTTGTTTTCATGGTCTTTGCGGTGGCTTTCTCAGCCATAGGACAAGCGACGGCCGCCACTGTGGATGCTCCAGCTCCAAGCCCAACTTCTGATGCTGCCATGTTTGTACCAGCATTGTTTGCATCTGTTGTTGCTTTGGCCTCTGGCCTTCTCTTTTGAGTCAAAGCAAACAATTCATTTTTTTTACCATTAGTTTCATTGTTTTGTTCATGAGTTTGTGTGTGATTTGATTCTATTGTGTATAAAGAGTGTTGTATTATTCTTAATGTAACCATCTGTTTTTATATGTGCTTATGTATCATCATTCATCAGACTGTTTATGAATCCGATTATCTTACAGTATGTCCACAAATCCATGAAAGGCAACACATAACTTGTCAATGGAAGTTACAAAATATTAGATTTCATTGATTTAGGTTCACACAAAGATCAATACGAGAGGATGGATACTTTGGAATTGTGTAAGAGTTGGTGGAATCAATGATGTAATGAGCTGTCTTTGGGAGGATGTGTGGGGGCATGATGCCGACATCAACATCACCATTATCATGGTGCCTCAAGACAACATGAGTTTCCATGTGACTCACCACAGAAAGAAAGCTAAAGAACAACTTTAATGACCCCACAACAAATGCTACCTAATGAATGAACCAGACAAACCTCATTTGCAGTATTCCATATTTGTGTAGCTCTGAAACAGAAACCAGATTAATAAATCTTAGATAATTAAGAGTTAAAAAACCTTAATCTGAATCACAAATATGACTACAAACACCTATCAAGTTTATCATAAATACAAGAGGATTTGACTGTTGGCAACTCCAAACGTAAATGATATGTAAATGTGAAGCCATCTCCCTTGAAATTAAGTGTTTAAAACATTTTCTTCCGTTTCTTTTCTCATCTAATAGAACGTATATATACAATATTAGAATAAGCAACAGGGTAAGATAGGGTATGCGGGATGTTGTAGACAAGAATCTGTTCAAGCCATGTGATGCATAGAAGAAAGAATGGGACCATACCATAGCATTTAAGTTCGCATGACCTTTGCCTGGAAATAAAAACAAACGTCTTTGTAATTGGCCGCCGCCTTTATTGTCCAATTACTAGCTCTCATCTATTTATTCATTTGTGTCCTGATAATAATTAAAGACAGACACTGGTTATTCTCCTTTTATGAAGTAAATCTAACGATAAATAGTTTACCAAACACAAGAAACAGGAGCAACTAAAATATTGTAAAGAGATCTCTTACCAAAGTAAGATACCCGAGGAAGCTGCAATCTTGTGGCTGACAAAAAGAGAGCCACAAGGTGGTCCCGAGGAAGACGAAGAGAGACATTTGAGTCTTGAGAACCTTAGCTACTGTCAGAATCTTCAGCTGCGCAACTCAACCAACAGTCCTGACTCATTATGTGATCAATCAAGAGAAAACCACTATGTTCAAACTCAAAAGTAGACAGTTCTACAAGAAAATAAGTTTTCCCTGAGAAACCAATGTTAATATATAATGTGCCAAATTTACAGAGGAATGATCAATAAAGTAAAATTACAAATAATGAAATACAAGGGGGTAATAACAAAACTAGCCTATGCACCCAAAATGAAACAGAACCAGTAGAGCACGCCGCAAATGCTAATTTTTTTACAGATCTCATAAGCCCCAAATAAAAAACCTGGACTACATCTAGTAGATCTACACCATCTCTTCCTACTTTTATAAAGTGTAGCACTATTGAACTAGCCCGAGAAACCTAAGCGCCTTAAGTATGACAGAAAGGTTGGTCTCATCTGTACTCTCCTCACTGTTTCAAACTCCTGGTTTATCTGGTAGTTTGGAGTTCTTTATCCGCGAAATGAAGAAGACGTCTCAGTCTGAGAACCATATCACAGTGAAAAGGTAATGCCGTCCGCCTATCCAGATATGCTGGACTTACAGTCATCCACGATAGAGCGTGGAGTTCTGCCGCGATTGACTCAAGGATAAGATGGCTTTCAACCTCAAAATCTCTAGTTTCTTGGGTCCCTCCACCTTNTGGAGTTCTTTATCCGCGAAATGAAGAAGACGTCTCAGTCTGAGAACCATATCACAGTGAAAAGGTAATGCCGTCCGCCTATCCAGATATGCTGGACTTACAGTCATCCACGATAGAGCGTGGAGTTCTGCCGCGATTGACTCAAGGATAAGATGGCTTTCAACCTCAAAATCTCTAGTTTCTTGGGTCCCTCCACCTTGCTTCATGATTCCTTGAAGAATTTTGTCATGAGCGTTGTCATAACCACCATAATAGTCAATGAGACTTACAGAGAGAACTGATGGCCATTCTTCTTTCATGTTTATTCTCGAGTCTTTTCTCATGGAAGGCACAGCTTTTGAAACAACAAACCCGGTCGACAAGGGGATTGCACAGCCTTTGCTGTGAAGAAGGTGAGCAAGCGGAGGTGATTCGGCAGTTAAACATGTAGGAAGCTGAAGAGGACTTGGGTGAAGAAAGCGCATGTTGGGTGATGGTATCATCATGTAAGAGAAAGCCGTTGACCCAAGAGATTTGACAGGAGTGAAACCTTCAATGTAATTTGATGAACTCATACCAATACCTCCTGCATAATTGCGCAAATACACAGGCAAGTTAATATCTAGCTCCCTTATGGAAATTAAAAACTGATTACACGGATGAGCATATATATGAATGAACTGCGAACAACAGAAAAACAATCGGAAACTGACCAGAAGATACCAACTCAGCCGGCAGAACAAGGTGCAGAGAATGATCAAGTGAAATAGAAGTAAAACTGATGCTTTGAACCCACTGAAACAAACCCCTTGGAGTACCAGAAATGGTTTGTCCACCCATTATCTGCTTTCTTCCAGCAGATTGCCCCATACTGCCTTTCACAAAGGTGGACGATTTTGAGTGAGAGCTGTAGAGTGTGCTAGTTGACGAGACTCTCTCTTGAATCAAACTCATATCCTGCGGTTGCAAGGAAGATGCGTTGCTATTGGCGGCTATGCCAGAAGGTGCAGAACGTCGAAGTTGAATAGGCCACTTTTTAATGTCAGGACCTCCAGCTGAGTATATTGCCTTTTGCCACTCTGTTATATCAGTTGCAAGTCGACCAAAAACATACCAGGGTTATGAAACACGCAATAATAGAGAATTATAAGGGTAAGAGAAGCTAATTTACCTAGGTATTCAAGCTCAAAGAAATTGCCAATGCGTGTAATGACAAAATCTCTGGGTTTTGAAGATCCATTGTCAGGGGAGGAACATGCCTGTAGTATTCGACATCCCTGCTGCAGAACTTGAACAAAAAGACACTGCAGCCCTTTCGTATCCTGTCGACTGCTAATTCCACCAAAGGGAAATATATGTGTGTCAAGCAATTCACCCCTGGCATCTGTCCAGATGCTTACAAGCCATCGCCAGTCCTCTGTCCAACCGTAGCAGCAATGTAAACTTGGAATAGTCTTTCCTTCAACCTGTGATGCATCCCCCTGGGAGCTTGATCCTGATGTTATACCTTCCATTGCATTGACGCCAAGTCCAGAACCTCTGCCACCATCCTCAGGTACTGGCTTTGAAGACTCGGAACCCACGCCGGCAAAAGTAGGTGAAACTCCACGCTCCACTGAACCAGGCTCGGAAAGAATGAAAAGCGGTTCAAATAAATAGAAACTTTCATCATTAAGGTAAAAATCTTCATTTCTGTTTGGGTCGCAGCTTAATCCTCCAGATCTTGTTATTTGCCAGCTATCCCAACTCGTTCTCATACTACCATCCCTTCCACCATCTCTTGGATGTGTAGAACCTGTCATTCGAGAACCAGCACAGTCTTTCCAGATTCCTGAAATAGAGCTCATTGGTGTCAAGGCTGAAGAGGATCTGCTTGATAAAGAGGACGACTGAAATGCGTCACTAGGCATTCCTCGTGAAATTTTGCGAGCCTTATTGTATACAGAAAAGGCAGTATCCTTGAGAATGACAGGCTCACTAAAGCTTGGACTTGTTATCCGGAAAATAGAATCAACAGACACCACCTGTAGAACTAGTTTAGGGACACTAAACCCCGAAAGCACTGGAATATGAGATATTGATGCTTCATCTACAGTAGCAGAACTACCAAATGCCCTTGCAACCTGACTGTTAAGTAACGATCTCCTGTCTTTATCTGGCTGTATTCCTGATCCAAGTGCAATAGACGATTGGACGATCGTCCTTAAAACTGCCGAAGGGTCGGGAAATGGACACACTATGTACACTACCTGAAAGAAGAGTAGAAGCCAACAAGTATCAACAGCTACACTTTGTAGAAGTGAGTAAAGACTTACTTATCCCAGTTAACATTTGTAGTTCTTTAGCTCATACTTACGATGCAAGGACTAGCTGATCCTTCTTTCTGGTTTGTGTAAAGGCAAGACTCAAGTTTTAGACCTTTCAGCGCTTTCGATAAAGACTTCAGATAGCTCGTCACATTCCACCCATTCGACAAAGACAGAAAATAATCGCTGAGAGATCCCAGAAGCGATGTGTTATTGCTTTCAATCTTCATCGATTGAGGGCAATCAAGCAGAACAAACCCANAGCTGATCCTTCTTTCTGGTTTGTGTAAAGGCAAGACTCAAGTTTTAGACCTTTCAGCGCTTTCGATAAAGACTTCAGATAGCTCGTCACATTCCACCCATTCGACAAAGACAGAAAATAATCGCTGAGAGATCCCAGAAGCGATGTGTTATTGCTTTCAATCTTCATCGATTGAGGGCAATCAAGCAGAACAAACCCAGATGAGGATAAACTTCCAGTGTCAGTTTTCAATTGATTTCCCTGGATATGTGGCAAATGGGTTCCCAGTCTGCACGCCTCATAAACTATGCAACAAAAGGTTCATCAGAACATAATGACGAGAAAATGTCCTAAATTTTTGTTCCTCTAGAAACGTTGTTTAGCAGAAACCAGTTCCTGTCAAATTTGAGTATAACCAATGTCACAACAGATATATTCGTTGACTCACCAGTTCCAAGTTGTTGAAAGAAATCAGCAGCAGCACTGGTTAAGGGATCTATATCCGGGCATACAACAGTATAGTTCATCTGAGAAAAAGTAACAAAGAACAACTTAGTGGAGAAGATTATCAGTTGGCCTAAATTGAAGAAAACAAAAGCATTCTCAGACGAATTCCTTGAAAACGCACATTTTTCGGTAGAGCATATGGCTCGAAAGGGGCCTTTTCCCAATGTGACAAAGCGTTAGTAGATATCTTAAGCCAGTCATCTTGGTACCTGTCACAGGGGATAGACGCTAGAGAGCTTAAAGAACAAGCACTAATATGTGAC